CCAAGCTCCTAGCTAGCAAGCACAAGGTCCCCAGTTCGATCCCCAGTTCGATCCCCAGCCCTGCACACTGTGCTGGCCCGCAACCCCAGGCATACCATGCCACCCCAAAACTGAGCGTGGTGGTACACACCTGCAATCCAAGCACTGGGGAGGCTGAGACAGGAGGATCACTGCAAGCCTGAGCTGTGTAGCAAGATCCTGTACCAAATAAATAAATATTAATAAAAAATAAAAAGGCTAAATCACCAGAGAGACAGTTCAGCAGCATAAGTGCCTGCCTGGCAAGTGTAATGTCCTGAATTCAATTCCTGGTACCAAAAAAGAAGACAGAACACATCACTTCCAGACACCACAGTACACAACTCCAAGGTGGGCCACTTCAAGATTAAATACCTAGCTGGGGGGCAGCCAAATAGCTCAGCGGACTAAAGCACCTGCTTAGGCAGATGCAGGGGCTTGGGGTTCAATCCCTGAGCCTCCCATGTCCCCCACCACTCCCCCAGGCTCTGAGACAGGAATTGAGACTGGGTGTGGTGGCCTGCGCCTGTAATCCCAGTGCTTGGGAGGCTGAAAATAGGAGGATCTCTATGAGTCCAATCTACATAGTGAGACCCTGTAGACCCTGCACTAAATACATTTTTTTAAAAGAAGAAAGAAAAAAAAAAACCTGTAATCATAGCACTTGGAGATTGAGGCAGGGGGATCACATGAAGTTCAAAGGACAGCCTGGGCTCCCCAGGGAGACCCTGTCATATACACACACACAAAGATTACATGCATACTTCACTCATTACCACACCAACAGAGAGATAGGTGAGAGTTTAGAGAGATGTTACACAGAAAACTAGGTAGATGGGAAGGTGCACGGGAAACGAAAAACACTTATACTTTAAGATTCAAGTTTAAAACTCTGAATATGATCATAAAATTGTAAGAACTGAATATCAGGGGCCGGGGGGATGGCTTAGTAGAACAAGCGTTTCCCTGGCAAGCTCAAGGGCCTGAGTTCCATCCCTAGTTCCACCAAAAAAAAAAGGAATACCTTTTTAAAAAAAAAAAAATTGTTGTTTTGCTTTGTTTCTTTTTCTTTCTTCTTTTTCTTGAGACAGGGTTTGACTATGCAGTTTAGACTGGCCTTGAAATGGTGGTGCTCCGCCTGCCTCAGTTTATTCAGTGCTGGGATTGTAGGTGTATGCTATCATGCCTGGGATTCTGTTTTTGTTTTTTAATACCCTAGGGGCTTCATGGTAAATTTTTAGAAAAGGCACATTACAGAGGTGCATAACTTTTATTTTATATCCACATTTTTTTGTATTTCTATTGATGAACTATTAATTTTCTCTTTTATTATGTTAAATAATGTATGCTTAACAGGAAAATAAGATATCAATAAAATAAAATATTAATTTTTTATTATGCAATGAATGTGTAGAATAAACATCAATATTCTTTAAATACTTATTTATTTATTTATTTGGTACAGGGTCTCACTACTCAATTCAGACTCATAGTGATCCTCCTGTCTCAGCCTCGCCAGCGCTGGGATTACAGGTGTGCACCACCATGCCCAGTTTCAGTGGCTGGCATGGCATGTAGTACTGGGTATCAAACTCA